ACCTTTTAGGTAGTGTGTTTTCCAACCCTACCTCCCTTTTTAGTGCGTCTTTGAGCCCTTACCTTTTAGGTAGTGTGTTTTCTAACCCTGCCTCCTTTTTATCTCCCTTTTTAGCGCGCCTTTGAGCCCTCACTTTTTAGATAGTGTGTTTTGAAACCCTGCCACCCTTTTTAGTGCGTCTTTGTGACCTCACCTCTTAGGTAGTGTGTGTTCCAACTCTGCCTCTCTTTTTAGTGCGCCTTTGAGCCCTCACCTTTTAGGTAGTATGTTTTGTGACCCTACCTCCCCTTTTAGTGCGCCTTTGTGCCCTCACCTCTTAGGTAGTGTGTTTTCCAACCCTGCCTTCTTTTTTAGTGCGCCTTTGAGCCCGTACCTTTTAGGTAGTGTGTTTTCCAACCCTGCCTTCTTTTTTAGTGCGCCTTTGAGCCCGTACCTTTTAGGTAGTGTGTTTTCTAACTCTGCCTCCTTTTTATCTCCCTTTTTAGTGTGCCTTTGAGCCCTCACTTTTTAGTTAGTGTGTTTTCAAACCCTGCCACCCTTTTTAGTGCGTCCTTTCAAGTGCGCTTTTTAACATTCATTCCTTTTCTAGTCCTATCTCTTTTTGAATACTCTATCAAGCTTTCATTGCTTGAATAGTGCACCTTCGAGTCCCATCATGTTGTCTCTTGAAGACATTTCATTGTTTTAACTTGGGCTGGTTACCCATCATAATCAGACCTCTCCGAAACCATCTTTTAATAAATCCTTGAATTTCTCACCACCTTTAAAATCTTCCATTGGGGTTGGTTGCCCATTACAATGAAACTATCTTTTGAGAAATCCTTGAATTTCTCAACACCTTCAAAATCTTCCATTTGGGCCGGTTGCCTATTATAATGAAACCATCTTTGAAGAAATCCTTGAATTTCTTAGCACCTCCAAAATCTTCTATTTGGGCTGGTTGCCTATTACAATGAAACTATTTTTTGAGAAATCCTTACATTTCTCACCACTTGCAAAATCTTCCATTTGGGTTGGTTACCCTTTTTCAATAAAACTTTTGAAAAATCTTTGTATTTTTCACCACTTTGAAAAATCTTTTTATTTTTCAC